ACACAACAAAATACGTTTCACTAATCCAAGGCTGATGAACCATCTCAAGAGATGATTTCAAACATATTATCCCTTTGTAAATTAATGAATTGAAACGTGAGGACACAGTGTTGCACGACTGTGCATGATTCACAGTGAAGAAGAGTCATTATGAAACCAAATTAAAACCAAACAATATCAGCATATGCAATATTATCCGGTCATTCTAAGTTTAAATAATTAGATAAACATACATTTGTGATCATTCACTGGAATGAAAATATTGGACATCCATCTGATGGCTTGGAGAAAATTTGGAACTCACATGAGAATTTCGTACTGCATTAATATTTTTATAAGGAGTCTTGGCATAGTGGTTATGCCTTGGGCTGAGATTTGCATGTCAGTAGTGTACAACAACCAGCCATTCCATGGAAAAAGACAAGGGGATCTACAGCCTTAAATATCGGAAATCCACAGTGGCGTGACTACATATTGGCATGAACTCGATGGCAGTTAGTTCATTTTTTTAATACTTCTATCTTTGACAACAAGCAGCACTAGTTAGTACTCTGAATTGTAAACTGAGATCTCTTAAATATTTGTTACTGTGAAGTCTGCCTTTGGCTAGATGGTGAAAGATAGACCAAGCCCTTTCCAATGAAAAGAAGGCATGTTCAGATGCATGAAGATTCCCCAGAGTCACTGTACATGGTGGTCCCTAGGGAAGTGCTGGCAGGTGGGGAACCCACAGCTTCTGAGAGGAAAGCATCACTGACCTCTCTCTCTTGCATCTGCCAAAACCATGGCCTGTTGCAGGGAGGTTTGTGTCTGGGCTCACACTGACTTCTCATCACTGTGTCTCTTGCACAGTAATACACGGCTGTGTCCTCAGGAATCACAGAGTTCAGTTTTAAATAAACTTGGCTCTTGGAGGTGTCCCTGGTGATGCTGACTCTGGACTGGAGAGCTGGATTATAGTGGGTGCTCCCACCACCCCATATATCACCAACCCACTGGAGTCCCTTTCCTGGAGCCTGGCGGATCCAGTTCACATCGTAGCTGGTTAAAGAGAACCCAGAGACAGTGCAGGTGAGAGACAGGGTCTGTGAGGGCTTCACCAGTCTTGGGCCTGACTCTTGTAGCTGCACCTGGGTCAGGACACCTGGGGATAGAGAGAAACACAGTGAGTCATGTGCTCAGATGCTGCCTCCCCAGACTTCATGTGTGAATCCCTGAAGCACTCACCTCCTGGAGATGCCACCAGAAAGAGGAAAACGCACACAAAATTCATGTTCATGTGGATAAGATTCGTGACACCCAGACAATACTCTTCAGGGTGAGAAGGAATATGAATTTAAGTCCACGCATGCTGTGGTTTCATTTGGGTTCTTATTAGGCATTTGCATGTGGGAGGTGCATTTGTATGTAAAGGTGGAAAGGGCTGAATGGAGGCCCCTGGCTCTGGGACTCACACTAGAAAAGTGATGCTGGTGGTGTCCTTGGGAGAACAGAGTCCTCTCTCCAAGGTCTTCATTCTATCTACTATACAAAGATCTGTTCATACTTTGCATTTAATGGAACTTTATATCCATTATCATCAGAAGTACCCAGATGATCCCTATCCTCACGATGTAATGGATTCAAGACCAGTCTTTCCTGAATCTTTTTGTGCATCTGAACACAAAGAGAAACACGTGTCTGTCATCCCTAAAGCTCCTTCCCCTAGGACAATGCAGAATATTTAGAAAGGAGTAAACAATACTTAAATGTTAGCTTCTAGATTTAGAGTTGGAATTAAAAAAAAAGGTTTACGAACCACAGGGTTATTTGTGAGGTTCAAAGCAACCACAGAATTAATAAGCAGCTCGTTTTTCCTCCCATGAATTAGTACCCAGGGTGGGTGTTGGGCTGAGTGTATTCTGAGAGCCCCCTGCTGACAGCATTCTATCACATAAAGAAGTGTTTCCTGGGCTCACACTGTCTTCCATCTTCTGTGGATGAAATAGCAACATGTTCTCTGGTCCTAATCATTCAGACTATTGGTCAGGAGTATTACCTAGAGTTGTCTCTGCAGGTTTCCTGCCATGGGCAGTAGAGCTGCCATAGTGGTCAGCACAGCAGTTATAGCTGACCAGGCACTGCAGTCCTTATCCAGGCTCCTGTCTCACTTCTTTCTTCACTTGCTCCAAGAGCTGGTGGGTCCTTAGCATCCCTGACGGTCAGCTTTCTCCCTGAGGTTAGTTTTCTGTCTGGACTCACACTGACTCTCACTGTGCAAATCTTTGGAGAAAGAGAGTGCTATAAGTTGCAAACACTCTGATTTGATTATAGTGGGAAGAAGTATGGTCTATAGCTATTGATACTGAGATATGCCACAATAAAATACTGATTAAGAAAGAAGAAAATCTGCCTGAAAGACAATGAAAATCTGTCTGAAAGACAATGAAAGCCAGAGTTTATGCTTCATTCTTTCCACAGGAAGAGTAAACATAGTTAACGCAGATTTGAAGCAAGAAATTTAAAGTTATTTATCCCATGCTATGGAAGACAGTGGCAAGCCAGAATTCTTTTTCTGGGCTTCTGTCATGTGTGTGATAGGAAACTTTGCAGATGTTGGTGATTGTTGAATACATTCATATTCTAATGCCACAAAATTATGCATGAGAAGACTGTTGAAAATATTATTTTATTGCATATATATTTACCATGAGTAAAATAAGTTAAAACATGACAGTTTTTTTCACACATAATCAGAAATGACGGAAAGTCTTACTGGTACAACATTTAAAAAAATGAACTAAAATATTGAACTGGAAAAGAGATTATGAGATAAGCCAGAAATTTGAATTGACTAAAATGTTTAGCAATGGAATAGAATCTTTATTTAATATTAATTAATTTATTTTCCTCCAAAACCATTTTATTGGGAGCTAATACAGATATCATCTAATTCCACAGTTCAAACCTATTAGGCAGTATTGTATAACTGCTACCACAATCAATTTGGAAACAATCTTTTCCTTCTTGAATTCCTTGCTATCGGCTCCCTTTGACCCCACCTCCACCCACCGCTGTACACCCCATAAACCCTTATTCTACTTGCCCTCTCTATATGCTCATTAATTTTGAGTTTCATCTACTGTAAAACATAAAAAACATTTTTTAAAAATTCAAGTATGTTTTCCATGATGACAAAATACATCTGAGATAACTCCATGAGGAATTGGAAATTGAGGAAGTGGGCGGAACACGTGCAGTCTGCGGCCCTTCCCTGGGGTCCCTGGCAGACCCAGGTGGGCTTAGGACCAAATGTGTCAGTTCAGCTACTGGGATGTGATGACCTCGCTGGTTGAGGGCCTCACCCAGGGCTTCTAGATCCAAGGCTTCTCCCAGGGCTTCTGGATCCCCACCCTTTGGGTGGGGAGTCCTACAACACACCCTATGCCTTCTGCTGAGCACGTGCTAACCTTCCCCCAAATGGATGAAATGTACAAAACAAGAAAACCAACTCCCTGCCATCCAGTAGATTTCAGCTCATAGCACAGCCCTCTTTCTCTATCTTTGCTGTTGAGGAGGGAACA